CTCTCTCTCTCTCTATGCACAATTGTACATAGATATACACATTAAGTAGTTTAGTTTGCCGTAATTCAGATCAATCAAGAAAGCACTCGACGATCCGAATGGCACGGATCTCGATGAGCTCGTGTCGAACTGTATTAGGACTTTCAAGACGGATGCTCGGTACAAAAACGACGCCAGATTTCTCAAGATATGGTTTCTCTATGTAATGCGTTACTAGAATTCTCTCTGAAATTGGATAATTGTTCAAAGGTATTTGTTGTTTATTTGAGTTTTTGTTTTCTAAGGAGTTGATTGAATTTCATACAGATGGATGGTAGTGAAGAATTTGAGAGAATTTTTACAGAAATGGGGCAGAATAAGATTTGTTTGCGAAATTCATTGCTCTACGAATCGTATGCCTTGTTTTTGGAAGCTAAGGGGGAGTTTAGTGAGGCACTTAGAGTGTATCAATTGGGCATTTCGAGGTTCTTTATGTCTCTGTGTTTTTTATATTTTCCTGTGTATATGGATAGGTATATATAATCAACTAAAATCAATTGATTTTTTTAGGAATTCTGAGCCACTAGCGAGGTTGAAGAAGGCAGAGGTTTTATTTCTCGAAAGAATGTCTGAAATAGTGAATGTTAGTTCACTTCAGAAGGTGTGTTATTGACTTTTACTATATGATAACCTTCTACTTTTTGTTTGCGGTCATGATGGACCACCAATGTACTCAGATTTGTATTTATAATTCCTACAATACATAAATTTCTATTGTTGTATTCCTTTAGTACGTTGTTGCTTGAAAGTAAAGTAGTAATCTTGAACTTTTGAACTTCCAAATTGTAGATGGACTAATGTACCTCGGAAAATGATCATATATCATCAAACTTTATGTTCGCAACTATGTTGGGGATTGTCCTTGTAGTTATGCTTTGCATAGTTTGACAGAACTGCAAGAGCACATCTCTTTTCATGTGGATAAAATATAGTAAAACAAAGCCATTGACACAATCAATCAAACTGACCAACTAAAAGTAATCCAAAAACTCTTCCGCTGCAAGATCTACATGATTGCAAAATTGAAAGATCAAAAGCGATACAAAAGCATTCTCAGAGTCTTGACCAAGTATGCGACTTCAACATTGATGGTTACAGGTTTGGGTTTTTGTGTTGGAGAAGGGTAAGCTAGTATTTGGCTTATTCGGCCAGTTTATTACGGATTAAATGCTATAGACTTCTGCGATATGGAGTATTCTTTAGGAATTGGAACAAATGTGGAGGGACTCATTTTGACCTCAATTTATGAGATTGATTAGCTTAATATAAAACCATCCCATCATTTCATTATGGAGCACTAAACTTAGTGGCCTAATATTTTCTCTTCTTTGCATCCTTTATTTTCCCAACTTAGGAAACATACTTAGCTTTGGTAAGTTGAAACCTGATGTTCATTTACAGATCATTGTTTAATTGTAAATTTTGTCCTTTAATTTTATTTCTGCACATAACATCATGATAGTTGTGCTTTGTTTTCAAGAAACTGAAATGATGGCTGATGATCCCGCTGCATTCATTTTTGGTCACTTGATTAGAAATGAGTAATGGTTATTGGATGTTGTTATGTCTCTTTTTTACCTTTCTTTCGGCAATATCCATAAAAAATTTTGATATTTGTGAGAGTGAGATGACTGATCTTTTTCCATTTTTCCTCTTTAGGGGGATGCAGGTGTCCTTTTGGAGAATGGTGAAAGCTGTATCAATCCATGGTCGATTTCCACCATTAAAGATCTATTGCGGAGGATGAAACCTGATATGTTGAAATATGATGTAAGACAACTGGGTTGTGATCATAAAACTAATTTCTTATTTAGCGGAGATTACTCTTTTCTTACACGCTTTATGAACTCTTTCAGGGGTACCATCCAAGTACAAAAGCTTATCCGGGAAAAGTGGCATTATCTTCTTTGCAGAAAACAGCAAGGAATAAGGTTATCGAGATAGGTAATTTTGTTATGTCATATTACTACTTGCTTTTGGTTACATGTTGAACTTTAAGCTTGCTTCCTCTTAAAATTTTGGAATAATCATGCGTTTAGTAAAGCAATTAAATGTAAGTCTTCTCCCTTCTCATTATGTGCTCTTCTTGTCTTTCCCTTGCTGTTTGTGTATCTTTTAAAAATTTGGGGAAAGAAACCAAGTCAAACCAAACCAAGCATTGTCTCAGTAGATTTGGGGGAGGGGTTAAGCTGGGCTGGGCTTCCCCTGGATTGCCTCTGGTACCAATAAGCGACATGACCTAAAGGTCCTAAGCACTGTAACTGGCTACAATTTTGTAGCTCTTATTTACTTACTCGTTGGCACAGTTGTTGTGGCTCCTAAAAATGCATGGTTGTGTCAGGTAGGCCATTATGTATTGTCAGATGCATGTAAACATGAATCTGGTTAACCTGTAATCAAGAATCGGGTGTTCTATGCAAATGACAGTATATATTAGAGCCTGGCTTCACTGAGAAATGTTAAAGGTGTACCAAAGCCTATTATTGCTGGAGGCGACTTGCTGTACCAATGTCCAGATGCAATGGGCATTGATCAAGGTTTCCTAACCACTTGGTAAAACTGAATTTTTTTTGGTTATTGTTTTAGGTTCTTTGGGGTTAAACATATCTTCTGGTAGGAAATGATCTAGAAATTTAAATGATACATATGCTTACCGTACTTTAGAAATACAAAAGTGTGCAGTCTATACTATGTGATTTCATTTTATGACGAAAGTTTCGCAGAAAAGTTTATGACGCTTTGCATATTGATACAATGCGGTCATTTTATGAATAATACCAATCTACCTTCATATATTATTTAATTCATTCTAACAGGCTACATTTTGTATGAGACACCTTCAGCAAAATACTATGTCAGCTGTTTTATGGGAACAATAAATCTTTCCTATTACTTATTCTTCACATGTCAGACATCTTTTGTAAGTTCCAATGCTTTTGTTTTCATTTATTTGGAAACTAGTTTTGTGATAACAGAGCATAGAGTGAGCAAAACGGAACTTAAAAACCATTAACAATCTTGTGTCCACTTCCTAATTAGTTAACCATGAATACTCCTTCATATGACTGCAATATGCTCATGTAGAGTAAAGTTGCTCAATATTATTCTTTTTGCCATATATCTATGAAACATATGCCTGTCTCCTGCTACTTGATGATTTTATGTGATTTGCGCATGGTTATGTTTTGTTCATCAACTAATTCAGAGAACATTGCATTTTGTGGAGTTAGCCAGTGTAAACAAAAAATAGATTTGTATAAAAAAGTAATATAGGCTACTAGGCAGAAGCTATCCCCTTCATGGTTACTTCTCCCTCTTTTAGAGGTCTTTCATGGAAATTAAGCAATGACACTCCCTAACCTGTCTGCTTACATGAGTCCTATCTTACATGGTCTTGGGTGTCCAAGCACTGAATTTATCAAATCCCCAAATCCAGGAACACGAGGGCAATGGAAAGCATTTGTTTGTTCACAACTTTCTTTTACTTCCTATGATAAAATGGGGTTCTGTGTAACGTACTGTGTTCAAAGTGGATACACCACCCATTTTAAACCAATTGTGCAACAAGAGGAGCAAGTCAAGAGACTTTCATGTCAGTTACATAGTAAACGTGAATGGCTATGTTGGTTCCCTGGTTGCACATCCGATGTGAAGTGTACGGACAGATATCACCCTGCACAGATGTCAAGATGCAGGTACTTGATGCATTTAGAAGCGTCCTTGCCACTATTTCCTCCTCCCTTCATCTCAATGTAGGCGCAACTGATGGTAGATGATGCTTGCACAAAGATAGTGATCAGTGCTACTCCTTAAATTCAATGTAAAGAACATGCCTCAATAAGTATCTGAAATGCCATGGTCCATTTTTGGTGAGAAACTGTCAACTGCATGTGCAGATCATGGTTTCTTGAATGAAACTCCTTTTTCAATCATGTCATCTGGTTTTCAGTGCACTTCTGTCTCCATGCACGTCTGATCTTCTGACTTACTGTTCTGAATTTATGATCTCAAAAGGTGGAAGGAAGTACCAAATAAAAGGTTGTGCTGGTAAGGGAGGATTTGCTCAAGTATTCAAAGCATATGTTGACAGTAATTCTGATGATGTGGTTGCACTAAAGGTGATTAGAGTCTCCTTATATGCTATATCCTTGGTGCAGTTTTACAGACAATAGAATTTCCTTGCATTGCTTTATAAACATTGAGACCTTCTGGTAGATACAAAAGCCTCCTTTCCCGTGGGAGTTCTACATGTATCGTCAACTTGATAAGCGAATTCCAGACAAGGAAGTATGTCATTTCTGAAACCATCACTATATCCATTGTTTATGGAACTGCTGCTTAGTTTTATTTGCTATTTATTTTTTTCTTCCCCTTAAACAGAGGTTGAGCTTTGGTTTTGCTCACAGAATGCATCTCTATTCTGACTACAGCATACTAGCTTCTGATTATCTGGCTCATGGAACACTACAGGTAGCAGTGATACTTTTACACTTGCTGCAGTTTTAGCTGATGTATTCCTTCGGTTACACATGTTTCATATGAGCATATTGTGCAGGATGCCATAAATTCTAATGTGGTCATTGGTGGGTTCATGGAAGAAGTTTTGTGTATTTATTACACCATAGAAATGCTTTCCATGCTGGAAACTCTGCATAGTGCTGGCATCATTCATGGTGATTTCAAGCCTGATAATCTTCTTATACGCTATGCTAGGTAATCAAGGTTCTATTATTATTGACAGTCTGTGTTGTGTAATCTTCAGCACTCATGAAACTACCGGATCTGGATAATTAACCCATTTCTTCTTTTCCCCAAATGACCGCTATTCATCACCTATTAATATTTATCTTGATAAAAAATGTTGTATGGTACTAAGTACTAACCCGCATTCTTGTTCTTCTAAAATGATGTTTACTGCATTTTCAGTTATAAATATAGAAGTATCTACAAAGCGAAACCAATGCATTGAGAAAATATGTTGTCCTTTGTGCAGTTTTTGACAGATGTTTTCTTTATTGTCACATCTCCTCTCCTTTATTGTATGTTCTTTGGTCCATCCATGCATATAGGACCTGGTGATAAATCGGCCCAAATATCCGGTAAATTTTATAGTGACAGTAATAGTTACATTTCCGGGTGTGAATGGAATTTCTTTACCATAGGCCACACTGATGAAAAGAGTGACTTTGTGCTTGTGATAAAAACAAAATCAAGTAGCATTGCTTTAGATGATTTTATCAAATTTCAAACATTTAACATCATGACATGGTTGCAATAAACACCATTGCACCTAAAATATCTTCTCAGTACCAGGACTTTTAGCTAATTAGCTACAACGGATACAATCAGTGATTTGACAATCTCAGGTTTACTGCAGATTTCTTTGCCCCGATAAGAATTCTTTTCCTGCCTCCTATATTTATATTGCTGTACAGTTTCACTGGGCAAGATTCAAGAAAGTTCTACTTGTTGATACGGGTGTTCTTGCTCTGTGTATTACTGTTTAGTCCCCTACTGATTTGAAATTGTTGACCGCTGCTCAAGGAGTGATTAAGTGTTCTTGTATTTGCAGCTTCCACTAGAGCAATAGGATTCTGGAATCATTGATTTTCTTTTTTATATAAGGTGGAGATAACATGGAATCCAGGATTATCCTGGATACATCACCATATCTAAGAAGGAACTTGAGTTTAGGGGATGGTAATCCATATGACAGAAGAAATGGACTTGTGAGAAATAAATGACTATAAGGAACCAATGATTCTCTCTTCTTAAACAACCTATATCCTCTACGCCTAATCAGCATTTGATAGATTATCCAACCCAAGCCAAAGCCATGGCTCAACCAAAAAAAGGGCGACCCCTAGCATAGTAGATTGTTGGCTTTTCTTGACCATTTTGATCATTCTGTGTTAGTAATATACCACATTTGCTTAATGAACAGTTGTTGCATAATGTGGGACTGTTTATGTTTTTTTTTTTGTTTTTTTGTTTTATGTTTCCTCACAAATAGTGCCTGGTATTTCTGGTTAAATGTTGAGTCGATTGTAATTTTAAGAGTTTATGTTCCCATTGTGATATCTGGGGCGAGAACTGATTGGGAGTTATTGTATAACCATGGAAAAAGTAGACATGGGCAAAGGTTAGATGATCTGGAATACTTGAGATATTAGGAGGTTGTCAACAATGCTCAAAAGGGGCCTAAAAAATGGACCCATTCTGTTTATCTTCAGCAAGGAACTTGTGTTAACTACTAATAGTAGCCTCTTGATTCAGGAATAAAAAGTAATTAATAGGTTGAAGTCGATTTTAGTTGCTGCTGAAAATGTTCTTGGTATTCATCAAGTTCATTTGTTTGATGTTGTCCTGCCTAGGACTGAAGAAGCATTTTAACCAAATATCATACTGAGATGACACCATACTAATGGTGCAAGATGCAAGGTAGTAGCTTCTTAACTTTCCTGTAAACTTGGTTTTTATGGGTCTTGTTTTACTCGGGGGAAAATACTTAAATTTTGTGATCCTCTTACCTGTGGCAGTGTCTTGTTTTCCTTTGAAGTTTTTTATTTGTAATAGTCTCGTTTCTTGGTGCAGATAGAAAATATAAATGCTGATAATTTTGTGTTAGTCCCTTTATAACCCATGCATAGGGAATCTGTGATACTTTTATGATTCACTGTTCAGGTTTACTATATCAAAAGGTGCAATAGATAGTGTACTCTTTTATAAAACTTTCTCCTTTTTTTTCTAGTGATAGATATCATAGCGTCATACCAATGGTTATCTAATCATTTTTGACCTGTTTTCTGAATATTGACATGTTCTTATAATATTGAATTCAAAAGTTAGCAAGCAATGACATTGTCTNGATAGTAGCTTCTTAACTTTCCTGTAAACTTGGTTTTTATGGGTCTTGCTTTACTCAGGGGAAAATACTTAAATTTTGTGATCCTCTTACCTGTGGCAGTGTCTTGTTTTCCTTTGAAGTTTTTTATTTGTAATAGTCTCGTTTCTTGGTGCAGATAGAAAATATAAATGCTGATAATTTTGTGTTAGTCCCTTTATAACCCATGCATAGGGAATTTGTGATACTTTTATGATTCACTGTTCAGGTTTACTATATCAAAAGGTGCAATAGATAGTGTACTCTTTTATAAAACTTTCTCCTTTTTTTTCTAGTGATAGATATCATAGCGTCATACCAATGGTTATCTAATCATTTTTGACCTGTTTTCTGAATATTGACATGTTCTTATAATATTGAATTCAAAAGTTAGCAAGCAATGACATTGTCTAACTTCTTGGTAGGGATGATCTTCCAGAAGGTGGATTTCGTGACCGTACTGGCCCTTGGCGTGACCAGGTTATTTAATTGCATTTAGACTGATAAATCATAAAATTTGAGGGAATAAGTCTGAGTTTTATCATGCAGGGACTCTGCCTTGTTGATTGGGGTCGGGGAATAGATACGAGTCTCTTTCCTGACAAGACAAAGTTTATGGGAGACTGTCGGACTTCTGGCTTTCGTTGCATTGAAGTTCAAGAGAACAAGCCCTGGACATTTCAGGTTAGTTCGAATTATGAAAATGTACCCTTTTAGAATTTAGGATTTTATAATTCCATGTATTTAGTTCTTTTGTTTGAATGGTTGCCAGGTGGACACTTACGGCCTTTGTGTTATTGTTCATATGATGCTTCACAATTCGTACATGGAGATCGAAAAGAAAGCATCTTCTGATGGCAGCTATGTTTATCAACCAAAATCACCTTTCAAGAGGTATGTGCTCATTATTGTAGCATTCTTGTAATGGTAACTGTTATTTATGTTGTTGAGTGCTTATTTAGAGAGCGTTATACCACATTTTGAGTAGATATATGGATCCTTCAGTACAGCACGAGCTGATTCATTCTTTGGCTTTCATTTTTATCCTTGTACTCCTTTTTGCTCGATAAATTTCAGATATTGGAAAGTTGACCTTTGGAAGAACCTATTCACAAATCTGCTTAACTTCAATCCTAGCAAAGATCACATAAACTTGTTGCAGAATTCAAGGGAATCATTCCAGGATTACATGTGCTCAAATCCTCAGTTGATCAGAAAGCTAAAGCAATCATTGATGAAGCAAAGAACCACTTTATGTTCTGCCTAGTGCATCATTGATCATTTCTCCAGGGTCTTTATTATGATCTGGGAATTGCTGATTTTTATGCTATGCAACTCAAAGCTACCTCTTGATTGTGGTAAGCCCAGTTGAATTCCAGATATATATGTGTAACATATCACCACAAAAGGTTTTCAATTCTTATCTTTGGATTTGTAATCGTATAAAATTGACTATGTTTGTATGTTGATTTCTTAAAGCAAACACAGGTGAGGAGTATAGTGGAAGAGCACTTGCTCTCCCTGATTTTGCTTGGATTTCCTTGTATCAAGCTACATTGAAGAGTTTTTAGTGAGATGTAATCTGTTTTTTGTTATTTTATTTTCCTTTCTGTCATGTCTCTCCTTGGAGGATCACTCGTCCTTTTTGTACCAACTTTGTATTCTTAATGAAATCTATCTTGTTCTGATCTAAAATAGTTTTATAGGAAAGCATTTGCAATGTCAAATTCACAATCTTCCGAAAGTAATTGCATAACTACTTATGTCAACAATGTTGTAAGCTTGTATGGATATAGTCAGTTGTCCATTGGGGTGCATGTGTTATGTAAATGGTTGCCCATTCTTTCATTGCTACTAAGTAAAGAGTTATCACTTACCAATTTTCTCCTCGACCCATGGTCTTGGAAAAAAGGTCAATAAATAATAATACATTTTAATAAAAAATAAATAAAATAATAGTATTAATGTAGATCATATTAGGGAAGAATTAGGGATGAGAAGGGAAGAAAAAAGGGATGAGAAAAGAAGAAGGAGATGAGAATAGAGAGAATTTTAGAAAAAAGATTCAATATCTATAATCAATAATTAAAGTTTATTCTCACAACAAATATGTATCTTCTATATATATAAAGAGTTCACAAATTTTATATATATAAGGAGATCACAAATCCTAAAATAAATAAATAATTAAAATGACAATTAAACCTCTAAAAGTTACAAGAAATTACTTAAACGATAAATATTAAAAGTATTTAAATATCTATTATAATTAATCTATCATATCTATCCAATTCTTACATGATTCCCATCATTCTTCTCCGGTTGAAAAAAACTCTCCTCCGGAGAGTCTTCAAAGTAGAAGTACCCTAAGAAAGAAGGATGAAGATGACATAATAGTTCATCTAGAATGAAAAGAACCATCAACTTCTTTCCATTGATCAGGATAAATGTAAGAATCTCCATCTGTATGAATACCTGCGAATAAAATAGGAGGCTCTGGAGTACTTTGATTAAGCAGCATGTCCTCTAAATAAAAATCTGGACTAATATTAACATTCAATGAAAAATTAAGCAAATAAACATTAAATTCAAACTCAAGAATAACAAAACAATTCCCATTAGATTTGAACAACTGACATTCAATGGGACAAGACATCAGTGACAAAGGAGTAATTATAACACTCTGGTGCTGAAAATAAGAAAGTACAGACTCAATTGAACACTTGATAGTAGGTAAAGAATCAAAGTTGACAATCTCAAGTGGGGCAGAATCTAGAACAATGTCAACAATCTTAGGTGGAGAAAAATTTGAAACAAAATCAACAATCTCAAATGAAGAAGAATCCACAACAATGCCATCATGATTCAGAATAGTAGACATAGAATAATTGCCAACAGATTGCAAAATAGATAGCTCAATATGCTCAACATCTTGCATAGGAACTAACTGAATAGATTTTTCCTCAAGTTCAATGCTTAGTAATGATTCAACTTTTGACACTGATGAGAAAGGAAACATGATAGGATCAAAAATAATCTCATCACTAGTATCAATGCTCAAACGATTGAAAATATGTTTTGAAGAATGTAAAGCATGAAAGTCCAATGGAATAAAAATATGGCTATCATTATGCGGGTGTCCGACATTAGGTGAAACTGGAGACTTATCCTTATTTTCTTCCATTTGCTGACTTGCAAGAATTTTATTCAAGTGGGAAAGTTGACTTGTTAATTTAGATAATTGGTTTTTCACCCTTCTACATTCTTCACGTAATTAGCCGAGTGAATGTTTAGTATTGACAACTTGAATTTCAAAGATCTCAACCTTTTTTCCTAGGGCAGTTTGGACTTTTGAACGGTCACTAATAACGTTGAAGATTGATCTAGATTGACCTTGATGACGACTTTGAGAAACATGACGTTGGTAACCGTTATGTGACCTAAGTGTCCCAAAGTAGTATTCTAGATAATCTTCATAATAAAACTCAAACTTATTATGGACTTTATGATGACTCCGAGAAGCTCTAGGAGTGGAATAGGTATAGTAATGATGTTGTGAATAACTATGAACTTGAGACATTCTTGATGTTGGATAAGTATATGAATAGGCATCATAATGATCATATGAACTTATGATTGACTTTGAAAGATGAGAATAACATAACAATGAGTTCAATGATGCAATTAATAATTACGAGAGGTGAGAAAACTTAACTAGAAGAAAATATGTTTTGGATCCTTTGTAAATTCTCTAATTTTTCAATGAATACAAATATTAGTCTAAAATTTTATGGGAATATGCATACCATAATCAAGAAAAAATTCTGAAACTTTTGGGGATGATTCTGTAATTTTTGGAGCTTTTGGGGGAAAGATTCTACAATTTCTATAACTTCTGGGTTAATGTTTCTGTAATTCTGAAATTTTTTGTGATAGTTTTGTAACTTTTAAAATTTTTTGGAGTGTTTCTGTAATTTCTGGAACAACTTAGATGTTGCTGCAATTTTTTGAATCTGTTGGATAGTTCTGTTTTTTTTTCTTATGGTGATGAATAGTATACAGATAAACAGTGCCACACGTGAACAGTGATTTCGAATGAACAATGCACACGCGAACAGTAATTTCAGGATGAACAGTGCACGCGTAAAAAGTATTTTTTTTTTTTTGAATATGAATCGAAGTTGGGCTCTGGTACCAAATTGATGTAGAAAATATTAACTCTGATACTAAATTGATGCAGATTATATTAGCTCTGATACTAAATTGATGTAAATCGTACTATAGAAGAATTAGAGATGAGAAGGGAAGAAGAAATGGATAAGAAAAGAAGAAGAAAAAGATGAAAATAGAGAGAAAATTTTAGAAAGAAAATTCAATATCAATAATCAAAGTCTTCTCTCACAACAAATATGTATCTCCTATATATAAAAGGAGTTCACAAATCCTATATATATAAGGAGATCACAAACCCTAAAATAAATAAATAATCCAAATGACAACTAAACTCTTAAAAGTTAAAAGAAATTACTTAAACGATAAATATTAAAAATATCTAAATAACTATTATAATTAATCTATCATATCTTTCTAATTCCTACACGATCCCCGTTAAGTACATTCCAAGTTTGTCCAAATTTTCATTATTCTTTCGTGGTCTAAAGTAAAAAAAAAAAAAAAAACTCTCAACTCCATGAAATATTAGAAAAATCCCATTGCCTTCGAATTTAGAAACAAAGGATATCGTTAGTCTTTTATCTAAGAGCAAAATTGGCGGATCAAATCAAAACAAATCTTGTCTTTACTTTTTTCTCCATATATTACTGATATATTATTTCTGGGATAGGAATAAATTATTATATTTTTGATGAAAATTTTGATTATTTTATTTTCCATGTTCATTGTTATACCGGTTAGTATAAGGTTTTTTTTTTTAATTTTTGCGTCGGATGTTGGTCAAGTAGTAATTGATTAATACTTTTCTAGTTGAATCATGTTAGCTTAAATTTGTTTGAATGAGCCCCATAGTTATAGTTCTTATTTCAGTGTGAAAGTTGTTTTTTTTTTTTAAGTAAAAACAAAAAAGTAAAAAGTAGTGTTTGTTTTAGCATCACATTTTTTTTAAAAAAAAAGGAAAAATAAAAAAACAAATTAATTGTAGATTAATTTTATTTTTGTTTATTTTTGACGTAGTTCCAATAAACAATGAGGAGAGAGAGAGAGTGAGAGAGAGAGAGCAAAGTTACAAAGAAAAGAGGCGGTGGACGGTGGGTCGGTGGCCCATTCGGAGCTTTTATCATTTTTTTTTGTTGGCGTTGTTGTTGTTGTTGTTTTTATGTATTTTTATACTTTGTACCTTGAAATTTTTTAATTTTATACCTTAAAAGGTTAAATTTTTTATATTATATTTAAAATATATTAAAAATAATACAATGTGACTATTTTATTAATTTTTTTTTATTTTTCTTGTCAAAATCTAACTCTTTGACACTAACCAAAAAAAAAAAAAAACTAACAAAAGGATTATATTTTATACTTTTGATACATTAAGAGTATAATATAAAAAATTTAATATTTAAGAGTATAAAATAAAAAATTTAAAATTTTTTGAGATACAAAGTACAATTCGCCCTTATTTTTATATTCCTTACTTTTCTTATTTCGATGGGGAGAATGTGTGAAAGATCTAAAGTTTAGGAGTCGTTTGTGTAATAAACTGGATTCTAATTTGCCTCCCTTTTGTGTCCCCGTCTCATGATACTTACAGGTTCCCTCCCGAAGATTCTAATTTCTCTCATTTTTTACACTCGCTCGTTCTCTCTTCTAGGAACCAGGTTGAGCTCATAGCTCCACTTCTCTATCTCGGCGATCTTTCACAGGTTAGGTTTCTCTCTCATCTTGATCCTTACTCTCCCTCCGTTGCGTCCTAGCTTTTTATGATTCATTAGCTTGGAATTCATTTTCTCTTAGATTCTATGTTTGGTTACTAAGAAAACTGAGGAAAAGCATAAGAAATGGAAGGTCAAATTGCATAATTTTGAATCTTTATGTTTTCTACTGCATGTTGAGTGAAATTATCAAACTCAATAGTTTCAGTTTCGTATCATTTCTCACCTTTTCAGTATCCAAACGGAGCCTCAGTGTGTGTGAATAATTAATATAAGAAGCAAAGTGCCTGCTAGTAATTGTTTTTTTAAAATCTGTTTTCGTTTTCAAAATTGACGAACAAAATTAAATTGGTGTCAAAATTGATTTTTATGTCAAAAAGATTGTCGTAAACGTGTTTGAGAGAGTTCAAGAAGTGTTGATGTGCGACACAAACTTGTTAGTTTCTCAGAAGTGTTCGTGTTTCTTTGAAGTATGCATCATCTTAGTGTTTCCGGCCTGATATGTTTGATATTTTTTGGTCATGGCATACTTGATATATATTTCTTAGTCGGAATTTTGTTTCGTTTGTTTTGGAACATTTTTGTGGTAGGGAATTGATTGTAATAGATGGGCCCTTCATGTTATGAGTATTGGTTTTTTTTTTTTTGAATTATAACATTTATGGACTTATTATTTTTTTTCGCTCTTGTTCTTGTATTAAGATTGAAAATGTCACCAACTAATGTCAGTTTTTCTATGCAAGCCACCAGCTTGATTTGCAACAATGGCGGATGGATTGCAGCATCCATCTGTATTTCAAAAGATTCATGGGCAACCGTTCCTCTTCTGTCGGATATCCTCCAACTTGCATTCCAGGAATAGCTTTGCACATTGTCACACTGGTGCATATGTGAATGGAGGTCTGCAGAGTCCACTCCTGCTATCATGCAAAGGCACTGGCCTGGAATTTGCATGGCCACTGTCTCCTGTTTTCATAAAAGCTCCATCGGAAAAAGGGTTTCGTAGTTTTATGGAGGATTTCCTCATGGGAGGAGTTGCTGCAGCTGTCTCCAAGACTGCTGCTGCTCCAATAGAGCGAGTTAAGCTTTTGCTTCAGAATCAGGATGAGCTGATCAAAACTGGTCGGCTGTCTGAACCATACAAGGGGATTACTGACTGCTTTGTCAGGATTGTTAGGGAGGAAGGTGTCCTTTCTCTATGGAGAGGCAACACTGCTAATGTAATCAGATACTTCCCCACTCAGGTCTGCCTGCTTCAACTTGATATATGTTAATCTTTCCTTCTGTCTTAGACCTTTGATTTTTGGGGGTGGCGTGTGGGGGTTGTGTACACTCTACTTTCTGATAGACATTAGCCTATCAAAAGGTTGTCAAAAACTAATGGCTTGTATGTCAGGATTAACTTTTAGTCATTGATTAAACTGCTTCATTCAGCCTGTTCTGGTTCTGTTGGTTGCCAATCTTATATCTATCCTAGCGCACACAAAAAAAAAAGAAAGAAAGAGAAAGGAGAAAAGGGCAAGATTAATTCTGCCCTCCAATTTTTGTACTTGAGTTGTCCAAGCTTGTATGTGTTTTAAATTCTTGAAGCTTGTATATGCTACCAGGCCCTGAACTTTGCTTTCAAAGATTACTATAAGAGGCTATTTAACTTCAAGAAGGACAAGGATGGCTACTGGAAGTGGTTTGCCGGGAACTTGGCATCTGGAGGTGCTGCCGGTGCTTCATCTCTTCTGTTTTTTTATCACCTGGATTATGCACGAACACGTTTGGCCGCTGATGCTAAGGCTGCCAGCAAGGGTGGTGAAAGGCAGTTTAGTGGATTGATTGATGTTTACAAGAAAACTCTGCAAACTGATGGTATTGTTGGGCTTTACCGTGGATTCTGCATTTCTTGTGTTGGGATTATAGTGTACCGAGGGCTTTACTTCGGAATGTATGATTCGCTCAAACCTGTGGTTCTTGTTGGCCCAATGCAAGTAAGTGAAATTATGGGTACTGGCACTCTGATACTTAAATGTTTTGTTTGTTTTATATTGGATCTTGGCCTTTAGAATAATGCTCTTCTTTTCCCTTTCTGTTGGAGACTTTTTTAATGGTATATAATATACATAAAATAGCGCATGAAACTTGCAATGAGGTGCCTATTCATGTTTGACAATATAAAGCAGTGCATATATACTGGTGATCTGAGATCCTGACTTGACTACTATAGCTGGTTAACTTGGTTATTACTCAGTCACAGGATTGGTAATATGCATCTTGCTCCTCCGTTATTTTTTTATGTCCGGGATGACCCAATAGGGTGCATGGTTGTGAATATAATTTTGTTTCTCCTCCCTTCAACCATTGTTCAAAGGGTACTATGACCCAAAAAAAGGGTGCTATTTCAGCTGCTCTCTCATGAGTGGCCTTAAGTTTCAGTGGATTAACTCAGCCCATGTCTCTTGAGTAGTGCTTTACGGATCTGATTTTAAGCATTGCCTAAGTTAGTGTTGTATTTTCATGTTTTGCACTATTTATGCACTACTGCTGTTGTGTTTGCAATCTTTAGGATAGCTTCTGGTCAAGTTTCGTGCTGGGATGGGGTATTACCACTGGTGCTGGATTGGCTTCTTACCCATTTGATACTGTGCGTAGAAGAATGATGATGACCTCTGGTGAACCGGTCAAATACAAGAGCTCATTGAACGCGTTCTCTCAGATCATCAAGAACGAAGGGTTTAAATCACTTTTTAAGGGTGCGGGAGCAAACATCCTGCGTGCTGTTGCTGGTGCTGGTGCACTTGCTGGTTATGACAAGTTGCAGCTCCTTGTGCTAGGCAAGAAATATGGATCTGATGGGGGTGGTTAATATGATCTCATCATCGATAATGACGAAAATCAAGTACTATGATAATGCCGGTGATCTATATCTCTGTTTTGGTTGATAGTATTTGCAGAACAAAGGTGCTTTTAGGTTTCCCCAGTATTTAGGGATTCCATGTTAATTTGTACAGTTTCAAGTTGGACTGGAGCGGGGAGAAGTGCCCATTCATTGCATGTTGATCCTAGGAATCGAACCCCAGAAAACAAGAGTGAAGTTACTTATCACTTATATATCCTAGGTCTCGCTATAAGTAGAAGAGTTTTGTATTGTGTCTGAACTGCATGTTAGTTTGTACAGTACCAAACTACCAATTTGAAATTTCAACAGAAATTATTGTGGCCACTGCTAAAGTCTAACCGGGGAAGAACGAAGTGTTTTTACCTTAAAATGGGGCTTTCAACCAGCTATTGACTTGAAACGTAATCTTGTGATTAAAATAATTCAATAGAAGAATTGAATTATTTTAATTTCGACTTTAAGAGAAAGAGATACATAACATAAATCAAAAAATTAAAAGATTATTGAATAATAATATCGACTATTTCACATGTAAACAAAAAAAGCACGAAAGAATAAAAATAAAAAATTATCGCTAAAAGAGAAGATCAAATTTAACACTAGATTTCAACTTTTTAAGAAGAGAGACGAATGATTAAAGAGACAAGAAATTAACTTTTTGTTGCTTTTCTTTTTAATTGAAATTCTCCAATAGACTTACAATTTTATAAGATCTTTATATTTGTATTGAGCTTTTTATATTTGTATTGAGCTTTTAAGTATGAAAACGAAAAATATGAATTGGATTGCTCAATACCGAAATGTGCTTAACAAATAAACCCATTAACTCTTGAAAAGACGCTGCCATATTCTCCTGAAAATATACATAAAATTTTATTTTTGCTTTTCTAATTCTGAAGGGTATTAATGACTAGGCAAAAATTTCCATACATAACATGATAGCTAATTTCAAGCTTAATTGAAAAAATAAAATAGTCCTCCCACTGCATTTAACTGAACACACATAACAATAAGCAAATCAAGTGAAAGAAAGAGGCAGAATAGAATGCTTCAGTCTAGAGAAAGACAAGAACTGATTAAACAATCCTACCTCAGTAAAAAAAAACCAAAAAAAAAAGAAAAAAAACACGAGACTTCCTTCACAACCAGAAGAACCATCTTTCTTGCCTTTTCGATTCTGATGATCATCCACCGGTCTACCACATGGACCTAGCGCACTGCGTGATAACGTTACAACCACGGCTATATGGATTAACCTCTCCTGATGCAACACAGTTGTAGTAAGAATTTCCAGGACGATTACACGGGACATTGTCTCTCTCCAGTGCACCGTAGCTGATATACCTTGCTCCTTCTTCTAATATCCTTCGGCTAGTTTCCGACTCCATCATCATTTCTTCATCATCGTTCATGCACTCACCTACATTGCCGTTACATCTCCGTTGTGCAATCTCTCCTTTATCATCTTGATGCATGCTGGAAAGATACGAGACGCTCTGGTGTGTATCAGTGTGCGATGATGACTCAGACACCATGGCCAGTACTAGGACGACAAGCAAAGGCAGATAAATATCCATGTCACAAAGAGAGAGAGAGAGAGAGAGAGAGAGAGAGAGAGAGAGAGAGATTATGTGCTAGTAATGAAGTAGAGTGCGAGATTATGGACAGGAAAAAGGGGATCGAGTTTCGGAACGAGTTTGAAGCTTGGTGTAACGTGTGTATGTAGATGCCCGGTTCTTGCTCCTTCTATGCTGGAGTTTGTAGCTGTTGTTTGGTAAATTGAATGGGAAAAATGAAGGAAAATAAATGCATTAGTCTGAACAATAATTTTCATAATAAATTACATATATTATATATCTTGTATTGACAAAGACTCACCATACATTAGGGGTGGCTATCTAGATGGATCATGTCGTGATCGTTCCAATAATATTATTTGAATTTTATGTGAACTATTAGTCCTCATTCAATTAATTGTGTCAAATATCTTGACATTTATCCAACATTTTTTATTAGCTGTTTAGATTGACAAGAAACGAATAACCCACGAATCAAATTCTCAAGATCAAATACCNGCATGTTGATCCTAGGAATCGAACCCCAGAAAACAAGAGTGAAGTTACTTATCACTTATATATCCTAGGTCTCGCTATAAGTAGAAGAGTTTTGTATTGTGTCTGAACTGCATGTTAGTTTGTACAGTACCAAACTACCAATTTGAAATTTCAACAGAAATTATTGTGGCCACTGCTAAAGTCTAACCGGGGAAGAACGAAGTGTTTTTACCTTAAAATGGGGCTTTCAACCAGCTATTGACTTGAAACGTAATCTTGTGATTAAAATAATTCAATAGAAGAATTGAATTATTTTAATTTCGACTTTAAGAGAAAGAGATACATAACATAAATCAAAAAATTAAAAGATTATTGAATAATAATATCGACTATTTCACATGTAAACAAAAAAAGCACGAAAGAATAAAAATGAAAAATTATCGCTAAAAGAGAAGATCAAATTTAACACTAGATTTCAACTTTTTAAGAAGAGAGACGAATGATTAAAGAGACAAGAAATTAACTTTTTGTTGCTTTTCTTTTTAATTGAAATTCTCCAATAGACTTACAATTTTATAAGATCTTTATATTTGTATTGAGCTTTTTATATTTGTATTGAGCTTTTAAGTATGAAAACGAAAAATATGAATTGGATTGCTCAATACCGAAATGTGCTTAACAAATAAACCCATTAACTCTTGAAAAGACGCTGCCATATTCTCCTGAAAATATACATAAAATTTTATTTTTGCTTTTCTAATTCTGAAGGGTATTAATGACTAGGCAAAAATTTCCATACATAACATGATAGCTAATTTCAAGCTTAATTGAAAAAATAAAATAGTCCTCCCACTGCATTTAACTGAACACACATAACAATAAGCAAATCAAGTGAAAGAAAGAGGCAGAATAGAATGCTTCAGTCTAGAGAAAGACAAGAACTGATTAAACAATCCTACCTCAGTAAAAAAAAACCAAAAAAAAAAGAAAAAAAACACGAGACTTCCTTCACAACCAGAAGAACCATCTTTCTTGCCTTTTCGATTCTGATGATCATCCACCGGTCTACCACATGGACCTAGCGCACTGCGTGATAACGTTACAACCACGGCTATATGGATTAACCTCTCCTGATGCAACACAGTTGTAGTAAGAATTTCCAGGACGATTACACGGGACATTGTCTCTCTCCAGTGCACCGTAGCTGATATACCTTGCTCCTTCTTCTAATATCCTTCGGCTAGTTTCCGACTCCATCATCATTTCTTCATCATCGTTCATGCACTCACCTACATTGCCGTTACATCTCCGTTGTGCAATCTCTCCTTTATCATCTTGATGCATGCTGGAAAGATACGAGACGCTCTGGTGTGTATCAGTGTGCGATGATGACTCAGACACCATGGCCAGTACTAGGACGACAAGCAAAGGCAGATAAATATCCATGTCACAAAGAGAGAGAGAGAGAGAGAGAGAGAGAGAGAGAGAGAGAGAGATTATGTGCTAGTAATGAAGTAGAGTGCGAGATTATGGACAGGAAAAAGGGGATCGAGTTTCGGAACGAGTTTGAAGCTTGGTGTAACGTGTGTATGTAGATGCCCGGTTCTTGCTCCTTCTATGCTGGAGTTTGTAGCTGTTGTTTGGTAAATTGAATGGGAAAAATGAAGGAAAATAAATGCATTAGTCTGAACAATAATTTTCATAATAAATTACATATATTATATATCTTGTATTGACAAAGACTCACCATACATTAGGGGTGGCTATCTAGATGGATCATGTCGTGTTCGTTACAATAATATTATTTGAATTTTTTGTGAACTATTAGTCCTGATTAGACCCATTCAATTAATTGTGTCAAATATCTTGACATTTATCCAACATTTTTTATTAGCTGTTTAGATTGACAAGAAACGAATAACCCACGAATCAAATTCTCAAGATCAAATACCACTTTCTCTCTCCATTAAACCCTATGTTAATAGACTCTCCATAACCCTGTTATTTTCTTTGTAAATTATCAGTTAAACAGATTTGTCATGTTAAAATCATACAATTTGTGTTTGATATTAATTTGATCCGTTTATAATTCAAGTTAACGGGTTGTCTCATTTTCTGATTCATATAACGAACTAGTAAACTCTAATCTATTAATTTTTTTGTAGGGTTTGTGTTATTGTAAAGTGTTGCGACAAAAATTGCATCCCTATGATATATATATATATTTGCACTTCAGTTCATGTAATTAATCTGTTACTAATAAAAATTGAGAAAAAATATATTGGAAGAATATTTTCAATCCTATTATTTGCAATCATTTTACAAGAATTTCTTCATTAGGTTTTTGAAATTTACATTTTTGCGTCAACCTTAAAGGAACCCTTTCCACTTGTTATTTGTTTGTTGTTTGGGAATTGTTTTTAAAACAAGAGATCTTTTTTCCTTGGAGTGGGGAAAAAAAGATTAGGGTAATTAATGACAAAGGGCTGGCCATACAGCCATCATTCTCGCCAAATTTAGTTTTCTACGAAAGGAAGTTCTAGAGATACTTTGTCCCCTAAGTTAAGACTCTAATTTCACATCGTTCTCTCTACTATGGAGTTTCTAACATTGTATGCGAAAATTATTTGATTTAGATCTACATTACCTTATCAAATTAATGTCCATTATGGAGTGGACAAAAAATGTTCATATTTTATTAAAATGTTAGAGCGATGGTCAAAAAAAGAATAATCATATAATTTGTTGACTGATGGTGTAAAATACGAAGAAGCATGAAAGTGGATGAATGGTTGTTTAGGTGTGTTGAGCTGTGATTTGAAGCAAGTAAAAATGCACAAACTAGAGTGGTTTGTCCTGAAGAGCAGTAGTAGTCCACAATAATTAAAGGTTATTTGCTCCTAGTTTTTTTTTTTTTTTTTATTGCTTGAAATAGAAGACGAGTATAGTAGGGCGCAGTGTATTGACCTATCCTTTTACACAATAATCGTTTAGCCATCATTAGGAACCACTTTGCCCAAGGAATGACGTGAAGAGCTAGAAGTGATGACCTCCTCCTCCCAAGGTAGGATTTGATGGTAAAATTCTACTTTTATCCCTTATGTGATTTTATGTTGATAGCTAGTTTTAGTTGGGGATCCATCATTGGAGAAATTTTTGTATGTGTACAACACACCACGTGGATTGATCCATTTGGTGTGTAAATCCAATAAATAGCTACTATGTCATTAATTTGTCAGTAAAATTTTGACTATTGCCAACTCAGTAGTTTAGCTTCAATTCTTGGCGGAGTTTAACGTCCACTTAATTGCACAAATTTCAAGAAAAGTGCAGCACAAAACCGGGGTAAAATTTTAAAAAAGACTTCTCAAATTTTAAAAACTCAAACCCATCTCTTTATCATTATTTCTCTTTCTATTTCTAAATCTCCACACTATTTGCAGTCCACAGCCACAACTCTCTAGCACTATTCTTTTCTCTCTTTCTCAATATCTCTTCTCTACTCTCTTACTCTGCACTTCACTCTAATAGGTTGAAGTATCTGTGAAGGAATTGGCAAGAAATCGGTAGAAATTCCGGTTAAAGAGTTTTTGTATACTGTAGCAGAGATATATATTATGTTCAATACACACACACAAGCACTGCAAAGATCTATTGAGAACTTGTGTTGCTCTTTGTTTCTAGTGGGTTGACCTTTATTAAATGAAATCTCAATGCTTGGTGCTGCTCTTTTTTCTTTTCCAAGAAATGGGTTCTATATTATGAACATTGTAAGCAAATTTTAAGGCTTGAAAGCATATTGAACGAGCCTGTACAACAATGTGAACTCCTCCGATTATTTTGGCTAGTTTGCATAGAGGAATTTTTATTACAACTATTTTCTTATATTTGATGTTCTTTCTTCCATTCCATAAAATCTTTCAAAAAAAATGTATGAGGAAAGCAGATGTGGGGAGAATCTGGTAGTGGTTTTCAATGTTTATCAATTTCATGATTTTGTTTTAGGCTCATATCCATCAATTATGCTAAAAAATCTCATGGACTATAGAACTTCATGAAGGAATATTAATAGCTTAGCGATATCCTTAGAGCAGTTAATTTGTTCTTTAAGATTCTAAGAATTAAATCTGATTTTCTTTGGAGTTTAAAAAAGGTCAAACCATTAGCTTTATTGCAAACTAAAGCTAATACTTTTGGATTGGTGTTGTGTGACAACAAAGGGTCAACGATCCTTCTATATATACCAACGAATTTTTTGATTGTATGATGTGAATTCGTAAGTCTCATCTTCAAGTCATGGAAATTAGAAGATGCGCAAATATCTCACTTGAAATTTTAGAACTTGGATTTCCATATTAAAATACTAATTTTTTTTTACTCAACCCAAAAACTGAAAAGTAAGCCCAAAAAGGGAAAAACAAAGATTTCTCAGTTAAAATTCTACAGCATCATAATTTTTTTTTTCCAGTTTAATGTATCAT